GGCTTCTTGGCTAGCTTTATTCCAGGCATTGGTTTTGAGTAGCAACTCTTCCTTGGTCATCCTCAACTCATCCCTGACCTTCTTCTCTCTTTCTTCAGCCCTATCCTTAGCAGCTTGAAGGCCTTCGTAGTCAGAGACCTGCTTCTCCATTTGCTCCTCGAGCTTTTACACCTGAGCTCTGAGGCTCTCATTGTCAAAGGTCAGCTCAACGACCTTAAACTCGTATGTCTTCAAAGCTTTGGCAGAGTCCTCCAAAGATCGGACCCTGCCCATCAAGTTCTTCAAATGAAGAGTCATCTGGGGACAAAAAAAGGAAACAGACATAGATTAGTACAATTCAACCTCGCCGAGCTAAGAGCGAGTGTGAAAATACTTACAGTGGCTGCTCCCTGGAGAGCTGAGCAGAATGAGGCCTCAAGAGGCATGGTAGAAGCCCTCTGAATATTGGAGTCAGAGAGAATGGATGAAATGGCCCCAGCAGCCAACTCAGCATTGTCGAAGAAGGAGTTTTCATCAGTCTCCTGGCCTTCCCTCTTTTCAACTTTGGGACTCCGGAGAGGCAGCTGAGATGGTTACTCAGGCGGTCCGGGGGGTGCAAAGTCTAGCTTGATTCCAGCAATCAGCCCCAATGCTCCCTCAACCTCAGAAGAGGTGGGGGAAGCCAGCCCTGGCTCGGAAGTCTTTTGGGAGACAAACTGGGCAACTTGAAGAGGAGAAGAAGCCAGGGATTGAGATGAGGGAGTCTGTCCTCCCTTGCTCAAGGCTAGAGAAGAGGGCACTCCCAGCTTCTACATTTTAGCTCTGTCAATGGGGCTGCCTCCAGAGCTGGTATCGGCCTTCTGTTTGTCACTTTTTCTACTCTTCTTCAGTAGGTCAACTTTAGCCTGGAGTTCCTCAGGGGTAGATTTCATTATGGAGGAGCCTGGGAGATCTGAACCGAGCAAGTTAAACAGGAGAGAGGAAAAAGAAGGAAAGACAAAGGAACCAACTCAAAAAGTGTTACCTTCTATGTCTTCAAGTCTAACAACTAAGATAGGGAGCGGAGCTTCTATCAATACCTCAGGAAGACTGAATCCCTATGTTTCTAAGACTTAGGGCTTGATGAGCTCGGAATACTTCTCTGGATTACACTTCTCCAACTTTCGCTTTACCTTCTCGTTCTCAGTACTGAGCTCTGGTCGAGTGCCTGAAAAACAACACAAGGAGAGCAAAGGTCAAAAAGGCGACTCAACAATTCCCAAACCAGAGTTCAATCAGTTCGAGCAAGGGCTCACCTAAGTTATCAGGAACAGACCAAGTTCTAGGGATACCTAAAGTATCAGTCCTGTTAGCAGGGTTGTACTCCCAATTGGTGCCCCCAACGAAAAAGAATTATTTCTTCCAACCCTTATGGGAGCTCGGGAGGTGAGTAATAATCTGCCTAGTCGTGGTTCACTTGGAGATATATAAGAAACCCTCTGATGAGGTGAGCTTGACATTAAAAAGATCCACAAGCAAGGAAATGCTGGGGACCCCGAGTCCATGAATTTTGAATAAAACAAGAAGACCCACAAGTATACCCCAGAAATTAGGGGAGAGCTGAGCAGGACAGACATTGAAGTGTTGCAAAACACTCTTGATGAAGGGATGCATAGGGAAGCGAAGGCCATTCTCAAAAGCGGCCACAAAGAAATATACTCTCTTATGAACTTGGGCAACGTATGAGGTGTGTTTATCTGGACACTAGGGCTGGACACCAGGAGGAAAATCATAACGAGCACTAAGAATTTTCATATGAGAAGAGTCAACCTCACTAGGTCCTACGAGCTCAGCATGCCTAAAAGCGGCCCTTGTGCCCGCTGTGCTGTCAGAGACTCCTATCCCACTCACCTTGCCCTTACCTTTATTAGGATTATGGGGCACAGAAGAAGACGATGGAGATGGTTCATCAGTATTTTCCTTGGCATCGACAGCATCCACATCTGAGAAATTGTCGATTTTCTCGCCTACATCCCCTAAATCAATGTCTTCTTCGGCAGACCTTTCCCCCAAGAGAGAAGTAGAAGAGCGTGTAACTCTGAAAGGAGTAGACATGACTAGACAGGAAAAAGGTAAACTGAAAGAATGATAGAGAGGAGGAATACTAATTAAGCACTCCGTGATAACCCTAGGGTCAGCACTGTAGCTTCCAACAACAAGGATTCGCACGATAGAAGACCAATCCACGAAGTGGGGGAGAGGAGACAAGCAGTAATTTTGATTCCCAAAGTAAAAGAATCGAAAGGCCCAGAAATGCAATGGCCACCACGAATTCGAGGGATCCGGAATGAGAAAAGGTGAAAAAGGGACAAAAGGGGCGTGCCTAGGTGGGAAAGAGCAACGAACAACAGTCTATAGCGAAATGGAAGAAAAAAGGCAATGCGAATCTTCAAATCGAACCCACAGAACTCAATCTTGAATGAGGAATCAGAAAACTCCAAACCAAAAAGCCAAGAAATCGCAAGAAGAGAGAAGCAGCAGAGAAGTTGAACAATGGAATAGGGCGGTTCAGATAGCCATTTGAGCATTTAAAGCTTGAGAGACATGGACTGGAATATGCGCAGGAAACGAGGAAACCATGATTGCTAAAAACCGTCAAAAAGGCCTAACTCACGTGCAAGCCAAGGTCAGCCACGTGCAGATCCTGCTCGATTTAAAAAAATAGCTCAACCCCTGCCCAAGCCCGCTTGAACCAGGGGCTGGGGGGCAACTGATGATACCTCAAACAAGCCCTAGTTGTGAGCTCAGGTCAGGAGGTCAGGAAAGACACGAGGAATCAGAGAACCAGGGGTGGAGCTCCCCTTGGGGAGATCGTAGCAGAACCGACTAGGAAACAGCTGGATGACTGCGAAAATTGGGCCTCATGCATGAAACTCTCAACCAACCAAGATTCTCTCCTAAAATCAAGGAGGATCCTATGAATAATGGGCAAAGATTTCGGCTGAAATTCCACAAAATAGGGAGCAACCTTATAAATACTATGTAACACCTCATCGAGAGGGAGAGCAAAAAAGAACCCTAATTAGATTATGCACTGTCTTGTATTACATTCAAATAATCAATAGAGAAGAAAATGAGTAAGAGCCTCCATTTGAGAGTAGATTAGCCGAGCTCTAGAGCCGGTGAACCACTATATTCCTACTGTGAAAATTTCCCTATCCCCTAAAAAATACTTCATCACTGCCATTACAAAGTTGACAACCTAACTTTACTGTTGGTCCCACGCACTCTGTTCACCCACATTAGTCTATACTATCAGGTCCAAACAAAAGGCTTGGGTTCAAGATATGATGTATCCATTGCTGGATGTTGAGTTGAGGAACTTGACCTGTCTTTAAACCCTAATGGGTGAACCAAATCATCCTTGCTAAATGGCACATGGAGAAGTGGTGTGAGCTTGTTTCAGGGGATTGGTGGTAAAGTGGATAGGAGGTGTCTGGGACATATCTTGTAGCCATGATATCTCTAGTTGGCAAGGAATCAGAGGCCAGTCTCCACATTGTGATCTTGTGTCTCTCGTGGATTGATGAAGTTCAAAGTTTCTCCCAATCTGCTTAAGTAAGATAGTTGTTGGATTCATCAAGTTGTTGTCTCAATGTACTAAAAGCAGAGCTAGTTTCAAAGGTTCTAGTTTTTTATGGGATCCAAGCAATGTGATCAGGAATTGAGAAGGTGAGGATTTTGATTCTGGTTATGTCATAGACTGTTTGAGGTGAGAAATATGTGGATAGAAGTTCCCTATCCCATGTGTTAGTAGATTGGTCAATGAGCTCAGCAACAAGGTTTGGAATGTCTTCAACCTTAGATTGTAGTTCCATTTGTGGTCTGAATAAAGGAGTATAGGGAATCCATGGTTCTGTCCATATGCTTATTGAGTGGCCATCCCCCACAATGTTTTTTTTGATCAACCATCTCCCACAATGTAACATGCCCCTTTTTTCTATTATATGCCTGCATTCAAGAATTTGTCTCCAAATTGGTGAATCTCCTTGGTGGTGTTCAACATAGAAGAATGAGTTTCTTTGACAGTACCTTTTACTGAGTAGAGCAGTCCACGCAGTCCACATTTTATCTTTGTGCACCAACAATTGCCATCCCAATTTAGCCATCAAGGCCATGTTTAGATCACGCATCAAATGTTTTTGCAAACAATATGTATATCTATTTATCAATTGTCTTAAGGTGTTGTTAAAAAAAAAAATGCCTTAAGGTTTTTGTCCTCCTAAAATTTTCAAAAACATCCTACATATATAAGGTATTCATGTTGACCCCCTAAGAATACCACAAGATTTGTGGTCTAGTAGCAGAGGGGCAGTGACTAAAAGTCCCTAGAAAATCAGATAGTCATGGGTTTAAGTTTCGCTGAATTATCGAGAGTGCAATGCATTGGGAGTTCAAATCTCGAGAATAATAAGGGTACAACGTAAAAGGTTGTGTGTTTTAATATTGATTACTTTTGGATAAATAAAATAAAACGATCGCCTGTCTCAGCATTAAATGTATTTCATTATCAATCTAATGATCACAATTAATTAAGTTCTTAGACTATGTTCTAATAGTATTAATAATTTTTATTCGACTCTTTATAATCATTAATTATAAAAATAATAAAATAAAAAACTAAGATATGAAACTTAAAGCGGTTAATATTGAGGTTTCATTCTAATTTAACGGCTGTTTTTAACAAAAAGTGGTGATTAAAACGATTTTAATAGTTGAGGGGATAAATAAAAAAAAATTGAAAGTTGAGGGGTTACTTTAAAACAAGAGCAATGCTACATAAATTTAAAAAGTAGACTTAAAAATTAGACTTGATAATCTTAACCATGATTTTACTGTATTTATTGAGACCCATTACTTATTCAATGATTGAGATTATCAAATCTAATTTTTAAGTTTATCTAACATTAATCTTAAAACAAAAACTATATTCGAAGAGGCATTTACCCAAAAATAAATTCTTTCTCGCCGGAAAAGAAAGAAAAGAAGAGTTTGCTTCGCTCTCGGCGACGAAGACATGTGCGATGATGCAAGGACTCCACCACCATCACCACCAGAACCAACACCACCAGCTCGCAGCTCTTCTCGCCGCCGCTCTTCCCAAAGACGATTCAACGTCGAAATCACCATCATCTACGATTGCAACATCTGAAGAAGACGATTCGTCGCGAATAGCCGCTATAACCTCACTCCACCGCGCCATTCTTTACCCTCCAAACTCCCTCCTTGTCACTCACTCCGCTTCTTTCCTCGCCCAAGGCTTTTCTCAACTCCTCTCCGACAAGTAATTCTCTCTCTCTCTCTCTCTCTCTCAATTTATATACAGAGCGATAATTCCTATGCACGTTCGCACACAGTTTGTGAATTTTATAGTGGATACGGTAGAAGGATAGTTTGTATTGAAAGAACTTACCACCGTTTATATTTTTGTTCTGTGATGAAAATTTGTAATTGTCGTGTTCACAGCTAATTGTATCGCAAATTTGAAATATGGCGTGGTTTCAATTGCGAATAGTGCCCCAATGGAGTTACTATTGTTCCATATAGCATTTATTCTTACGATGATATATATTTAAGCAGAATTATGTGATAGTTGTTTTTCTTTGTCGTTCTTCTTTTATTGAAATGAATCTGAATTTGATGTTTTTCAGTCTATGTGATAGGGCTTTTGTCATGGAAGAGTCTTTCCAAGTAAAAGAACTTTTTTTAAGATAATTTTAGGGCTTTGTCCTTGAGAAGTCTTTCCAAGTGACTTACTTGTCTGGGTTATGTGTCCTAAGGGACCTCTGATAACAATTCGCTATGGATAATATCTAATTGTTGGTGTTTCTTTTCTGTTTGAAAATGTGGCTTAGATCATATGCAGTGCGTCAGGCTGCAGCTACAGCGTATGGAGCTTTATGCTCTGCATTGTGTTCAATTTCTATAGCATCAAATGGAAGGCAGAACCATGTTATACTTGGCAGTTTGGTTGAGCGATTCTTTGGTTGGGCATTGCCATTGCTTAGCAATGTTAGCACTGATGATGGGACAATGGAACTGGCACTGGAGGCGCTTCGTGAATTTCTCAATGTCGGAGATATTGGGGCAACTGAGAGATATGCATTGCCGATTCTCAAAGCATGTCAAGTACTTCTTGAGGATGAGAGAACCTCCTTAAGTTTACTGCATCGGCTTTTGGTTGTTTTGACCTTGATTTCATTGAAGTTTTTCAGATGCTTCCAGCCACATTTTGTTGACATTGTTGATCTTCTGCTTGGGTGGGCTATGGTACCGGACCTTGCTGAATCTGATAGGCGTGTTATTATGGATAGCTTCTTGCAATTTCAGAAACATTGGGTGAATAATATGCAGTTTTCTCTTGGATTGATGTCAAAATTCTTGGGCGACATGGATGTATTGCTTCAGGATGGATGTCCTGGTACCTCCCAGCAATTCCAAAGATTGCTTGCATTGTTGTTTTGTTTCTCTACAGTTTTGCAGTCCACAGCTTCTGGGTTGCTGGAAATAAATGTACTTGAACAAATAAGTGCACCTCTTTGCAAAATGGTTCCACTTTTGTTGGGATGTTTATCGATGGTTGGAAAGAAATTCGGCTGGTCAAAATGGATTGAGGATTCCTGGAGGTGCTTGACTCTCTTGGCAGAAATTCTGCGCGAAAAGTTTTCAACTTTTTACCCACTTGCAGTCGATATTTTGTTCCAAAGCTTGGAAATGGACAACAGAAACCTAGTTGTGGGGGCTGGGAAGATTACTTCCTTTCAGGTCCACGGGGTTCTTAAAACTAATCTTCAGTTATTGTCTCTACAAAAACTTGGCCTTCTCCCCTCATCTGTGCACAAATTACTACAATTTGATGCACCAATATCTCAGCTTCGTTTGCATCCAAATCACTTAGTGACTGGAAGTGCTGCTGCTACATATATTTTCTTGCTCCAACATGGGAACAACGAAGTTGTTGAACAAGCAATGGCTTCCTTAGTTGAAGAGCTAGAGTTATTGAAGAGAATGATTGGAAAGACTTCCTGCAAAACAGATGAGATCGAGAGCACAGTAGCTCCCAAGTCTTATTCGAAACCTGAATTGTTTGCACTGATTAAATTTGATTTGAAAGTCCTGTTAAGTGGTGTTTCCTTGGGTGGGGGGAGCAGTTTGATGCATTCAACAGAAATTGATGCTTTATATCTTAATAGGTCAGAAAAATTGGTATCTAGTATTGTTGAAAAATTGAATCCCTTTGACGTACCTATTCAGGGCCATGTAGAATTGCAAGCAATTGTTTTGAAGACTTTAAACCAGCTAACTATGATTGAATTTTTGAGCAAGTGCTCAATAAGGAAACAAGAGAGTGGGAAAAGTTCTTTGGATGTCGTGGTTGATAAACTCCTTAAGGAGGATGATATGGAAAATGGGCATTCATTGATGGTTTTTGAGCATTTGAGGAAGTACAATGTGCTCCTTGTGACTGCTCTTCATGTTTCTTCTCCCTTGGCGGTCAAAATAGAAGCCTTTCAGTGGATCCAAAGATTCTGCGAGGGTGTCATTGATGTATGTGGGAATTCAAAGGCAGCATATTTTTGTTGTGAAGCCTTTGGAAATGTTGATTTTGTTAAGAATTTGGTGTTTTCAGTTTTGGATGCTGCAGCAGACAGTGAACTGCAAGTCAGATCTCAGGTGGCATCAGTTTTGGAGATTCTTCTGAAAGCAAAACTTATCCATCCCATGTACTTCTTTACTATAACTGAAGTGGTCCTTGAGAAACTCGGTGATCCAGAAGAAGATATCAAAAAAGCATTTGTTAGGTTGCTGTCTAAGGTATTGCCTATTACGATTTATGTATGTGGTCTATCTGATTGTGAGGCAGTTACTACATGTAGGCCTGGTGTACTTAGATTAGGCAGTATGTGTAACTTACAGTGGAAGCAAGTTTTTGCCCTCAAGAAACAGCCTTGGCAAATTCAGTCACAGCAACTCGTTTCTGTCTTGAGTTACATTTCACAGAGATGGAAGGTGCCTCTTTCTTCGTGGATCCAGCGGCTCATTCTTACTTGCCAGAGTTCAAAGTATATTTCTTTGACCCAACCAGAGGAAACAGGAAATTTTGGTGGGAATGGTTTATGGGGTGACATAAAACTGGAGGAAGATATTCTTGAAAGAATTTTCTCAGCTAATATCCTTGCTGGTGTATGGTGGTCTGTACATGATGCAGCTAGGTATTGTATTACTACACGACTTCGGACCAACCTTGGTGGGCCAACTCAAACTTTTGCAGCATTGGAGCGCATGCTTTTGGACATTGCGCAGGTGCTGCAGCTTGATACTGAACAAAGTGATGGAAATTTAAACGTTGCTAGTTCTTCTTATGCTCACTTGTTACCAATGAGATTATTGCTGGATTTTGTGGAGGCCCTGAAGAAAAATGTGTACAATGCATATGATGGATCAATTGTTTTACCATGTGCGTCTCGGCAGAGTTCTTTGTTTTTTCGGGCTAATAAGAAAGTCTGTGAGGAGTGGTTTTCTCGGATTTGTGAGCCAATGATGAACGCTGGATTGACATTGCATTGTTATGATGCCACAATTCATTACTGTACTTTGCGTTTGCAGGAGCTTAGATATCTTGTGGCTTCATCTGTGAAGGAGAAGGCAAGAGCCCAGGGAACGGAAAACGTCCATATCATCAGGGCCAAATTTGCTGGAGATATCTTGAAGGTTTTACAGCATATGGCTTTGGCTCTGTCTAAATATCATGAACCAGAAGCCTTAATCGGCTTACAGAAATGGGCAACCATGGCATTCTCTCCCTTGTTTTCAGAAGAGTACTGCACTCCAGGTGACAGTGGGATCTTAGGACCTTTTTCATGGATCACTGGGCTTGTATATGAGGCAGAAGGCCAGCATGAAAAGGCTGCTGCTCACTTCACTCATTCATTGCAGACTGAAGAGTCACTGAGTTCTATGGGTTCTGATGGTGTACAGTTTGCAATTGCACGGATTATTGATAGTTATACAGCAGTTTGTGATTGGAAATCTCTGGAATCCTGGCTATTGGAGCTGCAAACTCTTCGTGCTAAGCATGCTGGGAAAACTTATTCTGGTGCTCTTACTACGGCCGGCAACGAAATAAATTCAATTCATGCCTTGGCCCACTATGATGAGGGAGAATTTCAGGCAGCATGGGCTTGCCTTGATTTGACGCCTAAAAGTAGCAATGAACTCACACTTGATCCCAAATTGGCCTTGCAAAGGAGCGAGCAGATGCTTTTGCAGGCGATGCTTCTTCAAAATGAGGGGAAGGTGGACAAGGTATCTCTTGAATTGCAGAAGGCCAAATCAATGCTGGAGGAGACATTGTCTGTCTTGCCTTTTGATGGGCTGGCTGAAGCAGCAGTGCATGTCAACCAGTTGTACTGCATACAAGCATTTGAAGAAAGTTGCAAGCTAATAAGCAGCCAAGACAAGCAATTTGAGTCATTGTTAAGCTCATATATTCAAGGTGTGGAATCCCCTATCCACCACATTCATCAAGATTGTAACTTATGGCTAAAAGTTCTTCGGGTATATCGAAGCACACTCCCAACTTCGCCTGTGACTTTGAAGCTATGTAAGAATTTGCTGAGTTTAGCTCGTAAGCAAAAAAACTTAATGTTGGCAAGCCGTCTGAATGACTATCTGAGAGATCATGTACTCAGTTGCTCAGATGGAACTTTCCGTGATTCAATTGTCTCAAGTTTGCAGTATGAGGGTATCCTGTTGATGCATGCTGAAAACAAGCTTGAGGAGGCAGTTACAAATCTTTGGTCATTTGTGCGTCCTTGCATGGTGTGCTCATCATTTATAGATTCCAATGCTGATGACAATGTTTTGAAGGCGAAGGCATGCTTGAAACTTTCAAATTGGTTGCAACGTGATTCTCCAAATATTAATCTGGAAAACATTGTTTACATGATTCAAGCAGATTTCAACATAACTGATACTTCTCTTGGCAGAGGGGCAATTGGCTTCAATAATGACAATTTAAGCTCTGATCCAAGAGTAGAACTCATTGTTGAGGAACTTGTTGGTACAGCTACAAAACTATCTTCTCTTCTTTGCCCCACAATGGGCAAGTCATGGATTTCATATGCATCTTGGTGTTACTGTCGAGCTAAGGCATCTCTCTCCCCAAATGAGGCTCCCATTCACTTTTACTCTTTTTCTCCAATTCTTGCATCAGAAGTTCAACCTGAAAGATGGAAGTTAACTGAAGAGGAGGTATTAAAAGTGGAATCTATCCTTTTCCAGATGCTTCAGAGAAGGACCGATGCAGAAGACTTGGACGAGAAATCAAAAGAGTCTCACTCTCAGGTTGAACTGTCTGTACAAACGAGAAATGAGAACTGTTTGAAGGCCCTGTCACAGCAAGTGGTGAACATAATTGAAGCTGCAGCTGGAGCTGGAGCTGAAGATACTAATGGCAAATGCCTTTCTGCTACAGTAACTTCTGATTTACAAAAATGCTGTCGATGTGCAAATATTGACCTTGAAGAAACTATGTTGGCATCCTTAATTAGTGGTTTGATCGATATTTGGTGGTCTTTGAGATGGAGAAGGGTGTCCCTTTTTGGGCATGCCGCTCAAGCTTTCATCCACTATCTTTCATATTCGTCTACCAGACATTATGATGGTCAATTAAGGGGCTCTGAAAGTGAGTCAAAGCATAAGACTGTGAGCTACAGCCTGAGGGCTACACTATGTGTCTTGGACATTCTTCTCAACTATGGGGTGGAGCTAAAAGATACACTTGAACCTGCGCTTTCAACAATTCCTTTGTTGCCATGGCAGGTGAAAAACTGTTTCTTGGATGTCAAGATATGATAATTTGATAACATTCTGACTATTTCTTATTTTGAAGGAAATAACACCACAACTATTTGCTCGACTAAGTTCTCATCCTGAACAAGTGGTTCGAAAACAGTTAGAGAGCTTGCTGGTGATGCTAGCGAAGCAATCTCCTTGGTCTATAATTTACCCAACCCTTGTTGATGTAAATGCTTGTGAGAAGGAACCATCGGAGGAGCTTCAGCAAATACTTGCTTGTTTGGTAATGCAGTACCTGTTTGATTATGGCCAGAAATTTTCTGCTCCTTCTATTTACAGTACTCAATGCTGTACAGCAGGCATGTTTCAAAGTTAAGTGTCAATGTGGTTGTGTGGGTCTGAAATTGGAAGGTTGTTTTGCATGGAAGATTCTTGCTAACGAGGATAGAAATAATATAAGGCCTTGCTGTGGTCATCTGGCTATCAAGGGCCTTATATTCTGTCAAATGCTAGTCCTTGTCTTTAAACTCCAGTTCTTTTTGGCCTTATCATTTTAGGGTTTATTGAAAGTCGCCTAAGAGTTGAGGTTACAGTGTCAGAAAATCAGTTTGGGTTTATATCTGGTAGATTAATTATGGAGGTTATATATTTATTAAGAACACTCATAGAAAAGTGTAAAGAGAAGAAGAAAAATCTCCATATTGTATTTATAGATTTAGAAAAGGAGTATGATAAAGTATCTAGAAATATAATATAGAGTGTGTTCGAGAGAAAATGAGTGACGAATAGGTATATTGAGGTGATAAAGGATATGTATGATGGAGCTATGACTATAACTAGGTCTTCGTAGGAGAAAATAAAGAATTTCTAATCACAGTGGGATTACACCAAAGATCGGCCTTAAGTCTATACCTATTCGCCCTAATTATGGATGAACTCATGAGGCACGTTCAAGGTGATGTACCAAGATGTATGCTATTTGCAGATGATATTGTATTAGTAGATGAAACTCGAAAGGGGTTTAACAATGAGTTAAAAATTTAGAGAAAGACGCTCGAGTCAAAATTGTTTAAAATAAGTAAGAGTAAGATTAAATATATGCAATGCAATTTTAGTAATAGAAAAAGTAGGCATAGTGAAAAAGTTAACATTGAAAATCAAGAAATATCAACAAGTAAACAATTTAGATATGTAAGTTCGATCATTAAAAATGGAGAGATTGGAGATAATGCAACTCATAGAACCAACATCGGTTGGCTTAAGTGGCGGAAAGTCTTTGGCATATTATGTGATAAAAGGATTCCTATAAAATTAAAAGGTAAGTTTTACCAAACTACTATAAGGACAACAATGTTGTGTGGGATAAAATGTTTGGCAATTAGGAAACAATATAGTGACAAAATGAGTGAGTGTAGTGGAAATGAGAATGTTAAGGTGGATGTCTGGAAAAACTAGAAAGGATAGAATAAAAAATGATTATATTAGAGAAATAATAGGAGTAGCTCCAATTGAGAATAAGTTGAAGAGAAAATAGATTAAGATGGTTTGGTCATGTTCAACGAAGGTCGATAGAGGTACCAGTTAAAAAAAGTGAGAGAATTTCTCTTAATAGTACTTGAAGTAGGGGTAGACCTAAATTAATATTGAACGAAATAATAAGAAAAAATATGAAAATATTTAACTTAAATGATCATACAGTGCATGATCGAACAGAATGGCGAAGACGGACTCATATAGTTGACCCAAAATGATTGGGACATAAGACTTGATTTGGTTTAGTTTGATTTGACTTAAATTCCTCTCTATCGGGCCTTGGCACAACAGTAAGGTTATTCCATTGTGACCTAAAGGTCATGGGTTGGAGTCGCAGAAATAACCTCTCTACTTGCAGAGTTAAGACTTTATACATCTAATTTTTCCCACACCTTGCAATACCGGGAGCCTTGTGCACTGGGTACGTCCTTTTTTTTAGAAATTCCTCAGTATATTTTATAGATGCCTCTAAATGAGCAATGACTCTACTAAATGATTCTCAATGTTAGACTATCCAACACAAAATCAATTGGCAATGGGTAGAGTAACCCCTTAAGTATATAAACTAACATTGGTGGTCATAATTATTCGACTCCCTCACATGGGATCTAGGCTTGCATGTGGGGTCAACAAACAAGCAAACTACTATGTATACCGAGAAATTTAAATAGATAATAGAATTGGCCCACTGACTACCCAAGGTCTAGCTTTGATACAATGCTAGACCATCCAAATTAAAATTAATTGACAATGAGTGGAGTGGCCATATAAGTCAACCTTGGTGGTCCTAATTATCCGTTGTGGATACTAGCTCTCTTAACACTCTGATCACCTGATCTTGGTTTTATTGGATGGTAATTAATTGAGCCATCAATTTATGCCATATTTGAAATTGTTGATTACTTCATGAAATGTAAAGATCTGGTGTGAAGAGAACAAAGTCTGTTTTATGAAGCAGATCCTTCTAGTGCCACAGATGTGTGTTTCCATGGACAATTACTCTGGCTTGAGAAATTGCTTGCGTCATATCTATTTTCTTCTATAACCATCCTAGCAATTCTCATGGTGCGCTTCATCTATAAGACTAGATGTGTGGAGGCCCATATCAGGTTGATATGCGACTAGGAGAATGATGACCAATCAGTAATTAGAGATATTGGTATTGTAAAATTTGCAGTTAGGAGGGGGATAGTTCACATGCCAGATGCATATATTTTTTGGAAGTTCAGACTGCTTGTATCTCTCTAATTATGCCACATATGCTTGGGCTGTGTCCCCTTGTCTCTATTCAGCGAGTTTCGCTTTGTTTAGTTCAAAAAGTATAGACGACAGAGAGAATTTTCTGTTTGATAAAAATGTATTTAATACTATTTTTATCATTTTGCCTTTGATTGTTTCTTGCTCTTGGATTATGATATTTTTGAGGTTACTTGTCGCTTGACTGTTCTAAATGTTGTTATTACGAACCATGAAGTGGAATTTGAGAAGATTAAGCATATATCTTGTTGCATGCAGACTAAGCTTTATCCAAGATTAATTCAGGATGTCCAGCTGACAATAAAAGAGCTGGAAAACATGACAGTTCTTTGGGAGGAACTATGGCTCAGCACGCTTCAAGATCTTCATGCTGGTAGTCTTGGCTCTCTAGATTAAACCACTAGCTCTTTTGCGAGCATTTATTTGATCAAGTTGGTTGTGTCCTATGTGATTTATTTTTTTCAGTAAAGAGAAGGAAGTTGACTCCAATTTTGTATTTTGACAAGAGGAGAGGTCACAAAAATGGGCATCATTTTCTTTACACTTACTTCAATCTTTGATTAGCATGTTGAAATGAAAGTCATGTATGACAAAAATGCATTTAGGTGTCTGGCATTGCAAATTTGTGGGGCTTGTTACAGTGGGATGAATTCATCTGGATAGAAATTAGTAGGGGTTAATCTAGTTCATTATCTTGAAATTGTTCCTAAGCATAGGGATTGAGGCTGCAAACTTCAGCTGCTTTGCATATTTATTTTCTTGGCATGTGCAAACTAACTCAATTATGCCTTCAACAATTTTTTAGGCTAACTACGTGAATCCTATTCCATTTGATAGAGGGCCATACTTCTAGTTATACCATGTATCACCATGTCTTTCCTGACAAAAAGAAGCTATGCTGTTCTTTTTGGTCTACCTTGTCACGTCACCCCTTATTAGTGTAATTATTAGTTTTCATTGCACTTATCTTAAGACTTTTCTACATGTGTTGCTAGATGTTATGAGGCGCATAAATTTACTGAAAGATGAGGCTGCACGAATTGCCGAGAATATGACTCTTAGTCACGCTGAGAAGAACAAGATAAATGCTGCAAAATACTCAGCCATGATGGCTCCCATCGTTGTTGCTCTAGAGCGTCGTTTGGCTTCTACTTCTCGGAATCCTGAAACACCGCATGAGGTGTGGTTCCATGAAGAGTACAAGGAACAAATAAAATCAGCCATCCTAAACTTCAAGTCTCCTCCAGCATCTGCTGGGACATTGGGGGATTTATGGCGACCATTTGATGTCATCGCTGCATCGTTAGCATCTTATCAGAGGAAGTCATCAATATCTTTGGGAGAAGTTGCACCACAACTTGTTCTGCTACAATCATCAGATGTTCCAATGCCTGGTCTTGAGAAGCAAATCACAATCTCAGAATCTAAAGGTGGTCTTGCCGGTACTCCCCAGGGAATTGTTACAATTGCTTCTTTCTCTGAACAAGTAGCTATCTTATCAACCAAGACTAAACCTAAAAAACTGGTTATTTTGGGCTCTGATGGTCAGAAGTACACTTACCTTTTGAAAGGGAGAGAAGACCTGCGTCTTGATGCTAGAATCATGCAACTGTTGCAAGCTGTAAATGGCTTTCTGCATTCATATCCTGAATCTCGTGGTCAGTCTCTTGGCATTCGCTATTATTCCGTGACACCTATTAGTGGGCGAGCTGGCCTTATCCAGTGGGTAGACAATTTAATGAATATTTATAGTGTCTTCAAATCATGGCAGAATCGCGTCCAGCTAGCGCAACTTTCATCATTGGGTGCTGGTAGCATGAAAAATACTGTCCCTCCACCTGTTCCTCGGCCAAGTGACATGTTCTATGGTAAAATTATACCAGCACTTAAAGAGAAAGGCATAAGAAGAGTTATATCACGGAGAGACTGGCCTCATGATGTCAAGCGGAAAGTCCTCTTGGATCTTATGAAGGAGGTTCCTAAACAACTACTACATCAAGAACTTTGGTGTGCTAGTGAAGGATTCAAAGCCTTCAGGTCAAAATTGAAAAGGTGCTTTCTCATAAGACATGCAAGTGAACTTATTCCTTTTTGGTTATTTGAAATATTGATTTTTGCTTCTTGATCCAATTTTAAATGTTCTCGTTATGGATCCATGATTGGTGCATCTTAATAATTGTTGTTATATTTATTATTATGATTGATTTTTTTGGTTCCATGCTGTAGAATGTTGGTACTCCTACATGATAAGCATGTTAAAGACAGTTAGAAATGAAACATAAACACTGATTTGTGTATCTGGTTTTACTTATTAATGCTGTTTGTTAAACTGTGCTTCAAATGTGTCCTTTAGTTTATAAATTTTGTCATCTAAAAATTCTCACAGTTCATGACCCAATCCCGAGTCTCGGCATCTTAGCAAATCATGGTTTCTGTTCCACTCTAAACCATGATAGAGATGAGAGGTCAGCTGGTCAAGACCTTGAAATCAAATAAGATTATTCTGATGAGAAGACTTGTTGGGTGAAAGATGAGAGAGGACAGATAATGAAGCACTTCCTCTGCCCAGGAGGCTGACCATGTCACACACGGTTGTTTGAGGGAGGAAAAAAGAAGAGAAGGTGAAGATTGGTACAGAATAGTTTAGCTCCATCTAAACATTATGCTCAGGACTTGAGAAGATGAAATTATTCAATTAATTCAATAGAGTTACATGTGGGTATCATTAGATTTACATTAAATTAATGTTATACCAGTTGTAAATTATTATAACATAAAGTTTTTGGGTACTTGTTTGGAAAAGCAGCGTGTTTAGATTTTATGCACATAACTGTGTGTGTAAAATGTCTTTTATCTTGTGCCCATCCAATTTGTCACTCTCACTCAGCTGCTATTCAGTGACTGACAGAGATGGTAATTGAGAACTGTTGGTGAGAGAAAAGGATGGTATAAATGGACTAACTGATAGTTTGTTGAGTACACAAATCAAAAAATTGTGTTAATGCATTGGGTTAATGCTCTGTGAATATGTCACTTTTTATATTGATGATAGTTTTTTTTTGGATTTAAAATATAGTTTTGTAGCAGTTCTTGCCTGTTGTTCTCAGATTTGGGCAGTGTAAACCTTTCATTTCATGACTTATGAGACTCTGAACTTCTTTTGCCTTATTCATTTTCTTGCAGGTATTCTGGTAGCGTAGCAGCCATGAGCATGGTTGGTCACATTCTCGGCCTTGGGGACAGGCATTTGGATAATATTCTTATAGATTTCTGTAGTGGGGATATCATGCATATTGACTACAATGTATGCTTTGATAAAGGGCAAAGATTAAAGATTCCTGAAATCGTACCCTTCCGCATGACACAGACAATTGAAGCAGCTTTAGGGTTGACTGGAATTGAAGGTACCTTTAGAGCAAACTGTGAAGCAGTTATTGGTATTCTGAAGAAGAATAAGGATGTACTCTTGATGTTGTTGGAGGTTTTTGTTTGGGATCCACTTGTGGAATGGACACGTGGAGATTTTCATGATGATGCAGCAATTGTGGGTGAAGAAAGAAAGGGCATGGAGCTGGCAGTCAGCTTGAGTCTATTTGCATCACGTGTGCAAGAAATTCGTGTTCCATTGCAGGTACTTGTGTATGTCCCTCATGTTTGAAGATGCATAATTAAGTTTGGGGTAATGTATTAATGACAACACACCACTCCTTCGGCGATTCCAATGCTGGGGTTAATTTCAAATGGAATTAATTGATTAGTGCTATTACAATCACTACTGCCACTGCTAATTTTTAATGGATTGCACATCAGAATTGAATTTTCTTGTTAGGAAATTATGCCTTGCTTTTCCTTGGATATCAAGTATTTTTCTTCGATAATTGGAACACATTGAGTTGGTGTTTTTCTGTCAGTTCTTAATCTAAAAATTACTAATATGCATAACATGAAGCCTGTTCTTTCAAATGTGACCAGGAACATCATGATCTTTTAGTGGCTACCTTACCAGCCGTTGAATCTGCTCTTCAGGTATCTAAATATTTCATATATTTTTCTTGGATACTTCTGATTTTCTATTCAAATTTAATGTAACATTGAGAATTTATGTATCAGCAATTCACTAGCATCCTAAATCAATATGAAATAGTCTCCGCTCTTTTCTATCGTGCCGATCAGGAGAGATCTAATCTTATTCTGCATGAGACGTCTGCAAAGTCAATTGTTGCTGAAGCAACTTCTAATTCAGAAAAATTCCGTGCCTCATTAGAAATACAGGCTCAGGAATTTGCTCAAGCAAAGTCTGTTGTGGCCGAGAAAGCACAAGAGGCGACAACTTGGATTGATCAACATAGAAGGATCCTTGACGCTTTAATAGGTAGTTCAATTCCAGAAGTTGAAGCCTGCATAAATCTGACTGGAACAGAGAAAGCTTTGTCTCTCACGTCTGCGGTTCTGGTGGCTGGGGTTCCATTGACTATTGTCCCTGAGCCAACACAAGCTCAATGCCATGATATAGATAGGGAAGTTTCTCAGCTAATGACCGAGTTGAATCGTGAACTCTCCTCTGCAGTAACAGTTCTCCAAGCATATTCTTTGGCTTTGCAACGAATATTACCACTGAATTACCTTACAACCAGCCCAGTGCATAGTTGGGCACATGTCATGCAACTTTCAGCGAATACCCTTTCCTCTGATATCATATCTCTCACCAGAAGACAAGCTGCTGAAATTATTGCAAAAGTTCATTTGGATGGATTTGATTCTGTTGAGAATAGTTATGGTGTGCTGTGTCTTCAAATGGAGAAGTATGCAGAAGAAATAGAGAGAGTTAAAGAGGAGTGTGCCGAACTTCTTACCTCTATTGGCTCAGATACCGAATCAAAAGCTAAGGATCGTCTTGTATCTGATATTATGGTGTTGATGCAGCCTCCTGCTCTTGAAAGGAGAGAAGACTCCTTGCTTACTATGCATTTGGGACCATTGAGGCATGAAGGGGCAGAAGATGCTAGATTATTGCAAGTGGAAATTGAAGAGAAGGAGAAGGTTCTGATTGTTTTGAATATAGCTGTAAGTTCTCTGTTGAACAAAGTGAAGTACAAAGTGCTCAACATCTTGAATAGTTCCACTGGAGGGAGAAAAACAGACAATAGGCTGCAGTCTGATCTTGGAATAATTCTCTGTTTGTTTGAAGAGCAAATAGAGAAATGCATACTTGTTGCAGGGTTTGTTAATGAGCTTCAGCAATATCTTGGCTGGGATTTTCCTAGTGTTGATATTGATGTAGATCAGTCTGATCAGTCTTTCCAAGGGAACTGGGCTTCAATTTTTAAAACAAACCTACTTTCCTGTAAAAGCTTGGTTGAGCAAATGATTGAGACTGTTTTGCCAGATCTTTTAAGATCTGTTGTTTCATTTAACTCGGAAGTTATGGATGCTTTTGGTTCTCTCTCACAAATCAGGGGCGCTATTGATACTGCACTAGAGCAGCTTCTTGAGGTTGAAATAGAGAGGGCATCTTTGGTAGAACTGGAGCAGAATTACTTTATGAAGGTTGGTCTCATCACTGAGCAACAGTTGGCTCTTGAGGAAGCTGCTGTGAAGGGTAGGGATCATCTGTCTTGGGAAGAGGCTGAGGAACTTGCTTCTCAAGAAGAAGCTTGTAGAGCACAGCTGGACAAACTCCATCAAACATGGAATCAGAAGGACATCCGAAGTACTTCTCTGATAAAGAGAGAAGCTAGCATTAAAAGTGCTTTGGTGTCTTCTGAGAACCATTTTCAATCTTTAATTAGTACTGAACAAGAGAGGGAGCCACATGTCTTGAAAAGCAAAGCACTGTTGGCAGCCCTAGTCCAGCCCTTCTCCCACTTGGAATCTATAGATAGAGTCTTATCTTCATTTATCGGACCAGTTGCTTCTTTCTCAAGTGGGATTTCTTACCTTGTGGATTTGATGAATTCTGGTAGCCCAGTGTCTGAATATATTTGGAAGTTGTCTAGCATAGTCGATAGCAATTCTTTCTTTATTTGGAAAATTTCTGTTGTGGATTCTTTTCTCAATTCCTGCATACATGATGCGGCTTTGTCCATAGATCAAAATTTAGGGTTCGATCAGCTTGTTAATGTGGTGAAGAAAAAACTTGAAATCCAAGTTGAAGAGCATATAGGTCAATACTTGAAAGAGCGAGTAGTTCCTATTCTATTGACCAGATTAGACAAAGAGATTGAACTTTTTAAGCAAATGACAGGGACAAATAAGGAAATTGCTTTTGATCAAATGAAGAGAGATTTTGGAGCTGTAAAACGAGTGCAAATCATGCTTGAAGAGTACTGCAATGCACATGAAACCGTCAGAGCGGCCAGGTCAGCTGCTTCCCTCATGGAGAGGAAGGTGAACGAACTCAAAGAAGCTCTTTTCAAGACCAGTCTGGAGATTGTTCAGATGGAATGGATGCATGATATCACCTTAAGCCCCTTGCAAAATAACAGGCTAATTGCCCATAATTTTCTTTCAAATGATGAGAGCATACTTCCACTTATTCTAAACCTTAGCAGACCTAAGTTATTAGATAGTATGCAATCTTCCATGGCAAAAATAGCTAGGTCACTGGAGCGCCTGCAAGCTTGTGAACGACCTTCTGTCACAGCAGAAGGGCAGCTTGAGAGAGCCATGGGGTGGGCTTGTGGTGGTCCAAATTCCAGTGCAATTGGAAGTACATCAGCGAGGAATTCAGGAATACCTTCGGAATTCTATGACCATCTGATGAGGCGGCGACAGTTATTATGGGAAGCTCGAGAAAAGGCATCAGAAATTATGAAAATTGGCATAACGATATTGGAGTTTGAAGCTTCAAGAGATGGCATTTTTCAGACTCCAGGAGAACTCTTTTCTTCTAGGACCGGCGGAGATGGCAGGAACTGGCAGCAAGGGTATTTGGATGCATTAACAAGACTGGACGTCACTTATCATTCCTTTACACGTGAGTTTCAAATCTTCATGGCACATTTCTTGAAGGCAAAGTGAAATCATCTCTGCAATGGTGTACCCTGGCATGAGCCATGATTTTATGTTTTCATGTTCATCTATCAGGTACTGAACTAGAATGGAAGCTTGCACAAAGTAACATGGAAGCTGCTTCAAGTGGTCTATTTTCTACGAGTAATGAACTATGCATTGCTTCTGTTAAAGCAAAGTCGGCATCAGGTAAGATGCGGTTGTATTACAAGCTGTTGAGAAATCGTGTTTCTAAATAGAATCTTTAGGACTTGTCTGTTGTTTACATTCTTTAAAAAACATGCTTAAAATAGCAGATCACAAAAATTGTAAGTATATAATTGCAAGAGCAGGGGAGTTTTATTGAAAATTCCCAATAAGTCCTATTTTTTCATATAAAAAATCATCAAGCCCTATCATGTTTCTGTTCACATCGTTAAATCCTCCCATGAAATCCCAATCTTCATAAATTGTATTGTCAATTCCAATTTTATCCTTCGAATGAAGACACAGTTACATTTTTATCTCTTATGTAATAATCAATTCAACTCTACTTTATTAATTTTTTTTGTATGTCTAGATATCCAAAATATTCAATCATTGCGTAGGCTATAGAGCAAATGTTGATTCAAACTTAATTGTGAAGAGTTATACTCTAAATAAATTGAACTTAGACACACGTGCAAAAATAGTTTCAGGAAGAAGTAAAAACTTCAAAACTTCATATGTGACTCAATATGAGTTTTTTTTTATAATTTCTACCAATTGTTGCCTTGATTTTTATTTTCTTAATGGTGAAAGTTGTAAAGATATCAAAGAATTAATTTTTAGTAATATAAAATATTATTGGTTATAAAATTAGAGGTAATATTTGATATTTTCTTGATTAGGACAAATAAAGTAAAAATGAATTGATTAATAAATTAGAGGTAAAAATGTAATTGTATTTTCATAAAAAGGATAAAATTAGAACAATACATGACATTTATGAAGTTTAGGACTTCCTGGAAAAAAGTTATCAAAAGTAGGACTTAATGGTTTTTGTATGGAAAAGTAGGACATATTGAAAATTTTCCTTACCTTGTATTGACAAAAATTATATTTTACATAATATTCATAAGATATTTTGTGATCTCCTTTATTACCAAGGAATTGATCCCATTGCCCGTTGTAATTCGTAGATTCTCTCTCTCTCTCTGTCTCCCCCCCCCCCCCCTTTTTTTCTCTCCTGGGCAGAAGGAAGGCCTTTTTAGATTGGTAGTGCACTTATCAGCCAAATAAAAAAGAAAGGTTGACTGTACTTCCATATATATGCATGCTTGCACATTCCATGCTTCTAAGGTAAACCCAGACATCAATAATACAGCTTTTTTGCTAATATTTCTTGATGTGTTGCTGTATTTCTCCAGGTGATTTGCAAAGCACTCTTCTTGCCATGAGGGACTGTTCATACGAAGCCAGTGTGGCACTATCTTCTTATGGCCGTGTTACTAGGGGCCATACTGCTTTGACTTCTGAATGTGGTTCCATGCTTGAAGAGGTATAATCCCAATGAAATTTGAGATGATAATGACTAATTCTTGCAACAATATTCAAGTCCACTATGGTTAATAATGCTTTATTGAATCGATTTATGAGGTTCTATTGAGATCACCTAACTATGGAAATTCTAAAGGGGCGAATCTGGTGTCCATGTGGGTTAATTGGCTGCACTGCATTTTAGATAGCATTTTAAGCTGAAGGTTCCATAGGTCATCCAGTTTGTCAGATTATTTCTGCCTTCTTTTGGAATTTTAGCTCCCCTATATCTTTTTGATTGTTTACCAGATGGCTCATTACAATCATATTAATGAGAGGGAATTAGGACACTATTTTTTATTCTTTTCCACTACTTTTTTCTAACTAACATCTTCATGCTTCTCTATAGGTCCTGGCAATAACTGAAGATCTACACGATGTTCACACTTTGGGAAAAGAGGCTTCTGTATTACATATTTCTCTTATGGAAGATCTTTCTAAGGTCGTCTTTTTTTCACATTCGTCTTCTTAGATTATTTGATCACATTTTTTTTGTCTGGGAAAAAAAGGTTGCAAATACAAGTGGTGACTACTTGCAAAAATTCCTTAGTTGGTGATTTTACTCTGCTTATTGAGTCATGTCTGAATGTGAGATTCCTTTTGTTTCTGGGCAGGCAAATGCAATCCTACTTCCACTTGAAACCATCTTGTCAAAAGATGTTGCTGCTATGACTGATGCCATGGCTAGGGAAAAAGAGACCAAAATGGATATATCTCCCATCCATGGACAAGCAATATACCAGTCTTATTATTTAAGGATCAAGGAGGCTTGTCAAGCTTTTAAGCCCTTGGTACCATCGCTTACAATCTCTGTGAAGGGACTCCATTCCATGTTGACCAGGCTAGCACGAACTGCAAGTCTCCATGCAGGAAATCTTCATAAAGTAACGCAATGCTTCGGTGAAACTCTATTGTATGCATGTTCCACAACTACTTTATGAAGATGAAAGGTTTTGAATTTATTTTTCTTTTGCTTTCAGGCTCTGGAAGGATTGGGAGAAAGCCAGGAAGTTACTTCACAGGATATTAATTCGTCAAGGCCAGGCCTTGAAGTTGATGAGACTGAGTATGAAAGTAAGGAGAGCGAGATTTTCTCCAAATTTGATGAAAAAAATGATGAGGTGCTTCTTGGTGTGAGTGGTCTGTCAATGCTAGATAAAGGTTGGATATCCCCTCCAGATAGCATCTGCAGTAGCAGCTCAGAGTCTGGTGGTACAGCAAGTGAAGTTAGCCTTGCAGATAGCTTCAGTAGCCTAGAAGTGGTGGAACAACAGCCACGTGGTGCTGATAGCAGAGAGACTCGAGATTCTATGGACTTCTTTCCATCGTCTGGGACTGCTTTCCAAGAAATGGCATGTGATGTTGAAACAGAATCGAAAAACACGGAGTCTTACAATAGTGAGACTGGTTTTGTAAATGGACATCTGAAAGCTGTGGCATCGTCATATGATCAATCTGGACCTCTTCCTGTTGAGACTGTACATTCTTCAAAACAGGAAAACTGTGAGGTAAAGTTTGGGCTTAAAGATGAAGCCTCCACACCGAACCAAGGCACAGTTGAAGAGGAAAATCCTGAAACTCCTCTTCCTAATGTGGATCCTGGTGGCCGAATAACCAGGGGTAAGAGCAAAATCTATTCTTAAAGCAAGGTTTTGGAGTCAACTTTGTCTTCCAGACATTAATAGGTGAAAGGACACATGGAAAAAACTTTTAACTGGCAGTTAAAGTCCCTACTAATGAATGCTATAAGGGAGTTGAATTCATGCGTAAAGGGCATATCCTTCCCTTTGTGTTTTGTTTCGAAGCCCAAGTACAGTGTTTATCAGTTTTCTTTACACTTGGTGTCATCAGTGTTTCATGCTTCGTATCAAAAAACAAGAACTGCCTTTTATCAGATTAGGATTCAAGGAAAGCTTACATGATACGCACTGGGATGAAAATAAACTTAGCAACACAGATAAAGGCAAAAAAATGGGTGAGAGAAACTTTTATTCACAGTCTGAATAGTTCTAGACTTTCCAAGCATTCGAGAGGCTTGGGAACTCTCCAAAATGAGCAAGCTCACTACAAAACAAATATTTTTCATACCCTTCCACTAACCAACCCTTCCCCCTATATTCTCCTCACCCCCTAAGCCAAAACAGAACACCAGCAAATACTAACAGAATGTCAAAAACTTACTCCCTAACAAAAATGCAAAACAGAATTGCATATTAGCTCCCCTTCTCTCTATCCACTTCTTACACGTCAGTTATGATCTAGATTTCCGGAATGACCCTTGCGCCTAGAATAGGTGAAACGCACTTGTGGCCTAACATTACCCCCCGCCCAAACATTCACCTTGTCCTCAAGGTGAAAATCAGGAAATTGTTGTTGAATCAAGTGAAAATCCTCCCAAGTCGCCTCATACTCAAGCAGGGACTTCCATTTCAGCAACACTTCAACTTCACCCGATTGACCTTGAGCTTTAGGACGTACTCCCAGCACTTCTTCCGGTTCCACTACCAGTTCAAGCTTAGGAGTTAACTGGGGTGGTAATACCGGAGAAGAAGAGAAAATCCCACGTGCTGGCCTCAACTGAGAAACATGGAAAACAGGGTGAATTGTTGCTGTCTAAGGAAGTTCCAGCTTGTAGGCCACCTTCCCGATCCGCTGAAGAACCTTGAATGGGCCGTAGTAACGAGCAGCTAGTTTCTTAAATTTACGTTGAGCAAGGGAGTGCTACCGGTATGGTCTCAATTTCAAGAATACCAAGTCACCTTCATTGAACTCTTCATGGTGGCGCTTGAGGTCAGCTTGCAGCTGCATCCGTTGCTGCGGTTGCAGTAAATTCATTCTCAGGTCATCCAAAAAAGCATCACGATCCTCCAACAACTGATCTACCAAATACACCGAAGCAGCTCCTCACTCATATCGAATAAGAGGAGGTGGATCCCGACCATAGAGAGCACGAAAAGGAGTACAACGAGTGGAGGAATGAAAAAAAGTGTTATACCAATATTCTACCCAGGCCAACTAGCGAGTCCAACTTCTAGGCTTTCCAGAAGCAAAACAGCGCAGATAAGTTTCCAAGCACCGATTGACAATCTCCGTCTGCCCATCAAATTGAGGATGATAGGCAGTGCTCCGTTTTAGAGTAGTTCCCTGCAGCTTAAACAACTCACTCCAAAATGACTCAAGAACACTCTATCCCGATCTGAAATAATTGATTTGGGAATACCATGAAGCCTCACAATCTCGCGAATAAAAATGCCAGCAACCGAAACAGCAGTAAAAGGATGCTTCAAACCAATAAAATGAGCATACTTACTTAATCGGTCCACCACTACCAAGATGGCATCCCAGCCCTCGGAACGAGGCAGCCCCTCAATAAAATCAAGAGTGACTTCATCCCAAACTTGCGCCGGAAATGGAATGGGTTGCAGTAACCCAGCTGGAGTAGTGGCCAAGTACTTATTCTGTTGGCAGACTGTGCACTCTCGTACAAATCTGGCTACATCCTTGCGCATGCCTACCCAATATAACTCAGCTGCCAGGCGTTGACAAGTCTTTGTTTCTCCCGAATGTCTCCCAACCGGAGTGACATGAAACTCTCCAATTAGAGTAGAAAGAAGCTTAGAGGATCTTGGAATAACGAGACGATTCTTATAGAGTAATATCCTTTGTTCCATTGTAAACCCAACATGAGATTGTGTACCTGAAATAATGTCCTCCCTTAGTTTCTTTAGAAAAGTATCATCCGCCAATTCCACCTTTAAAGAGTCCCAATGCTGCCACTGTGGTATAGCCAAGGTTGAGCACTCCACTTCATCTGTTAAACGAGAAAGTGCATCCGCTACTCGATTACTTGCCCCACTACGGTATTGAATATCGAAATCATACCCCATGATTTTAGTAATCCATTTTTGATATTCAACTCCAACAATCCGCTGTTCCAAAAGAAACTTCAAACTCTACTGATCGGTCCGCACAATGAAACGCCTTCCAAGCAAGTAAGGTCGCCATTTCAACACTGCAAACACGATTGCCATTAATTCCTTCTCATATATGGACTTCAGGCGAGCTCGGGGACCCAGTACTTGGCTATAATAAGCCACTGGTTGCTGCCCCTAGATAAGAACAACTCCTAACCCAAACCCAGAAGCATCCGTCTCAATAATGAAGGGCTTAGTGAAATTGAGCATTGCCAAAACAGGGGCTAAGGACATAGCATGCTTAAGTTCTTCAAAAGCTGATGCAGTTTCCAGATTTCACCCAAATTTATCTTTTTTTAGCTGATTAGTCAATGGTGACGCAATTCGAGCATACCCAGCCACAAACTTTCGATAGTATCCTGTCAAACCCAAAATTTCCTTAATGCCTTCAAATTAGTGGGCGTTGGCCAAGAAATCATGGCTTGAATTTTGCTTGGATCTGTTGCTACTCCCTGCCCGGAAATGATATGACCTAGATAGGCCACTTGAGTCCTACCAAACTCACATTTCTTTCAATTGGCATAGAGACTATTGGCATGCAAGATTTCCAAGACCTGTGCTAGATGCTGCTGATAGGTCTCCTCTGAGGGGCTATAGATCAAAATATCGTCAAAGAACACTAATACAAACTTTTGAAGAAAAGGCCGAAAAACATCATTTACCAAGCATTGGAAAGTAGCGGGGGCATTCATAAGTCCGAAGGGCATGACAAGGAACTCGTAGTGCCCATCGTGAGTTCGAAAGGCAGTTTTATAGACATCCTGACTGTCGACCCTGATTTGGTGATAACCAGACTTCAAGTCTAACTTAGAAAAAAATTTCGCACCATGTAGCTCATCAATGACAGGAATGGGATACTTATCTGGTACGGTAACCTTGTTTAGAGCCCGATAATCCACACAAAAATGCCGGGAACCATCCTTCTTCTTAACCAGCAAAATCGGACTCGAGAAGGGACTACTGCTGACTTGAATTATTCCAACAGTAAGCATTTCCTTGATCAATCTCTCAATCTCATCCTTCTGAGCGTGAGGATAGCGATATGGTCGGACACTAACCGGTTGGCTGCCTTCTTTGAGCACAATAGAGTGTTCATGTCTCCTAATAGGTGGTAATCCCGAAGGCATGTCGAAGACAATTTCATGATCTTCCAAAACTTGGTGAATAAATTGCGGCACCTCGGGACTCGCTTCCCTCAAACCCTCCAGTTGATTAAGCTCCACCAAAATTCCAGCTCCCTCACATTTAATGGTTCGCATCATAGCTTTCAGAGAAACCAGAGTCTTCCTAAGGGGGGGATCCCCCCGTAGAGTGACGGACTCATTACCGAGTCTAAATTTCATCACTTGCATCTTCCAGTTTGTATGAGTCATCCCCAGAGTCTCGAGCCACTGAATTCTCAAAATTACATCAGAACTCCCCAACCCAAGAGGCAAGAATTCTTCCACAATATCAACCCCCGCAGATGAAGTGTTATTCCACTGCAAAAGCCTTCTCCACGTACAACATTACCAGTTCCCATAGCCACTCCATAAACCTCAGTTTTAACAACAGGTATTTGAATTCTATTAACCAAATCTAAGGAAATGAAATTGTGGGTGGCACCTGGGTCAATCAATACCACAACCTCCTGCTCACCGATCATCCCCTTCAATTTCATCGTCTTTGGATTAGTCAAACTCACCACCGAATTGAGCGAGACTTCTGTCATTTGATTAAGCTCAGTCGCCTCCAATTCGAGCTCCGGCTCTTCGCCCTCACCTTGCTCTCCTTCCACATCATGGGTAAGAAGGACATTCAATTCCTTCTTCTTGCAGATGTGCCCAGGCGCCCATTTTTCATCGCACCGATAGCACAGCCCTTTTTCTCGTTTCCTTTGAAGTTCCGAATCGGAAAGCCTCTGCACCTCTCTGGAAAATTTTCCTGAACGATTTCTCCCAAAAGTTGATCGAGAAGCTTCAGAGTGGAAGCTTGTGCCCTGCGTTGGCCCCCCTGCTCGATGAAACCCACTGGCCGGTGGTTTGTGGGCTTTGGTCACCCATAGCTTTTTTTCTATCTTTTGGGCCAAATCCATGGCCCAGCCCAAGTTGTTGGGTTCCAAGATCCGGACCTCAACTTTGATCTCTGATTTCAACCCATTAATGAAGTTACCCAGAGCTACTTCATCAGAGACATTCTCCAATGGCGCCGATAACTCGATGAACTTCCGGCGATACTCCTGCACGCTGCCGATTTGAATAAGAGCCAACCACTGTTCATGGAGTGAGCCAGCTTGGGTCGTTTGGAACTACTTCAAGAGAAGCATCTTCATCTCTTCCCAAAGGACAATGGATCGCTTCCTATTTTCCCATTGATACCACAGTAGGGCATCTCCTTCAAACGCCATAATCGCTGCCTCAAGCTTCTCTTCATTAGTCAACCGAGGGCGAAATATCGTTCTGCCTTAAAAATCCATCCATCCGGATTCGAGCCATCGAACAGTGGCATCTCCAGTCTCCAGGATCGGAATTCATGGCGAAATCCATTTGAATTTGAGCCGCCGTCTAAACCATGAGATTCCCCCTTGTACGGAAACGATCCGCCTCGAGCCGTATCTTCTTGCAATTTGAGGAACTGTTCGAATCGTTTGTTAATATTTTGTATTTCCTCCTTCAACGTTCCCACTTCTCGTTGGAACTCTTCTTGCATGGCACCAACCACTTCCTCCATGGAATCCATCCG